ATTTTAATTAGAAGACACTTTCTAAGGGAGACATTTTAAACTTTAGGAATTTCTCATATCACTTCACATGAATTATCTTTTTTGAAGATACATTAACATCCTGCCAGAAAAGAAAGTACTGTACACACTACTTTAGTTGGTCTCTATTCTAGAATGTTTATTGCTAAATTTGTTGATTATTTTTCCCACTACTATCAAGCACTTTAATGATTTTATGTCAACAAACCTTCAATGTAGAATCCAAAAGGGATGTGGGCATCTCTCTCTGCTGCACACAGGGTAGAGGACTCCAACTTAGCCAATACTCTGGATGTGTGGTCACAGTACTGCTCCAGAAAGACGTAAATGTGGAATTAAATAACTCAGGCCACAAAGAAACAATTTCTTCAGTAGATATCTAGAGATAAAATAATAGTTAGGTAAAAGAGTTTTTGACACAGATTCTATAAATCAAGTTATTAAATCTCTTGTCTTGGAAGACTCAAAGTTAATGTGGGGTTTACAGATATTAATTATAATGTTTCTCATTTTCTATCACCATAGTAACTTATCCTATTTATAATTTTATAAAACTGAGATCTACTTAAGGCGGCATAAAAAGGTAAGTCAGCAAGAGATAAGTGAATAAAACATTATTTTAAAAGTAAAAAATCACATTAATGAAGTATTAAAATTTATATTTTTTCACAATATATTTTTGAGCAAACAAAACAAAAATAAGCAGATACTTTTATTTAAATGGAAACTGAATATAAGGATTCTGTGGTAAGCGTTGTGAAATACCTATATAATCACTGTAAAAAAATTCTAAAAAGTCTCCCCTTTGAAAATTACTTCATATAATGCTGAAATCTGCAATACAATGTTTTGCAGTTATAGAAATAAAAGTCTGCAACCAAACCTGCCACAGGAAAAAACTAAAGAAGGCTTATGTGGTTTTTGTTTCATTTTTTTTTTTACCTTTGGATGATGCAGTAAAAACCAAAGCCCTTGAAGCTCTTTTGGAGCAATTGGTGTGTACTTAAGGCAAAATGTGATGTGATGACGTATCTCTTCATCTACGTGCAGCTCTTGATTTTTGCTGGACCTGTTCCAAAAATTAACAAGAATGGGTGTGGTATGTGTTATCACTGCACTGCTACAAAACTGTTGTGTGAGGAAATATGAAACACATAGAAGTTAGAGTACATTTATTTAAGAATGAACAAGTAATTCTATTGGAACACTACCTAGTAGCTTTCAGGAGTGAAGTCAAAATAGTCAAAGAATCTTCACAAGGAAATTTGGCTTTCAAAGGTGGCAAGTGATCTCCCTTTGCTTCAGCAACTATCAACCCTAAGACAAGATTATGCTTTTGCTTATCCTATATCCTTTTTGCATTATCCTATATGTATAGGATAATGAACTAATTATTACCTTCTCAGACAAGCCTGTGTCATAAAATTGACTGTCACTTTGTACTGCCAAAGCATAGCTAGATACTCCATTGCAGGCCACAACTGAACTCTCCTGGTGAGTTGGATTAAGGAAGTAAAGTCTGGCTGGGGCAGGCAGGAAGCTTCACTGGACCTTTTCTCCAAAAAACCAAGTGAAATTCCTTTTGCTTTTAATTCTAAACATTGAACATTCACAAGATTCTTCAAGTTATCTGGAATAAAGACACAAGGTATTATAATGTAGTAACCAGTAATATAGGCTCCAGATTGACAACTATGACTGTGGGTTTAGCATGAGTTCAGCTTAATCACAATTTGACTTTTTACATCTGTTAAATGATGTTATTAATAACTATATAATTCTAATAATAGAATTCCACAATTACCTTTTAGTCTGATGCCTGATATTTTTTAAAATGGAGGTGTTTACAAAAAAGGGAAAAAGTAGCAAACAAATCTAAAGGAAAAACAAAACTTTTTGATGACAGGGGATACTTCTAGAGCATTTGTCAACTGGCCAAACTCCAAGCATATTACCTGGATTGACATTTTTAAAGATATTAGCTGTGAGAATCCACGCCCAGGCCTTTAGGAGATTTTTCTTTAATATCCATTCAGAAGCAACCACTTGGAGACTACTCATATGTTCTTGCCACCCACTTTCTCCTAGAGCAGGCAATGGCTCCCTGATGGCAAGGGCTTTGTTAAGGACTTTTAATTGTGAGAAGCATTCTACCACCATTTTGTCCTGAAACAACAAAGCCAAGAAAAGAACTGAGGTGCTTTTAAAGTAAGGAATGTATTCACATCCGAGAAAAATTTTTAATTGATTTCCTTAATGTTCTAGAAAACACAGGGCATGTTTACTCTTATTGCTCTCAGGGGATAAGTTAAAACTACCAAGCACTAACAGTCTCAAGAGTAAGAAAAGTATAACATTTAGTCAGTCAGTATTTGTTGAACATTTAAGATTTATGCTTTGCAGGTAAGAGTGAGTCCAATTGAATGTCAGTTCACACACTCCAGGAAAACTTCGGAACAGGTTAAATCTTTGTCTTTATTACATGCTTCCAAGATGTACCTTAAAAGGAAATGGTCGTCCCAGGAACTTCTGCAACTTTTTTATACCCGTGAAGCCACCAGTCGGACTCCCCAGGCAATTCTGAATATGTTCTGAGACGGTCTGAACATCTCTGTAGTATCTTTAAAGAAGAAATGGGTAGAAGGAAAATAAGAAAAGGAGAAAATGCTGGGTAGCAAGAAACATCACTTACATTTTATATCTGATTTATATTCACCAAGAGACTACACCAAAATAAAGCAAGAAGAAACAAGTTTTAATTCTAAACCCTTCAAAAAAAAAAAAAAAGGATTCATTTATGCATAGAAGGAGTGTAGGCCAGAAGTGAGGGGGTGAGAAGATTCACTAGAGACAGATGGGGAGCAGAACAGGCAGATGTACTGAAATACACTGCTGAGAGGAGCAGTGCGCCAAAGTGAGAGGTCTGCTGCACCATATGTGGGTTAGGTCCCTGGCTGGGGATCAAACTAAGAACACAGCGTGATGACAGCATGACAGCGCTAAGACACCCTCTAAACCCTCTTTAAAATCATCAATACTACAGAGATTCACACTATTACTCTGAGTCTTACTTGTCTTCATGGTTCATTAAGAGTTGGGGGATCTGATGGACCAAATGTTTGAAAACCCAGTGCCAGTGAAGAGCAAGTAGGGCCAGGCCAGGGGCATCCACTTTTACTGTGTCAGCCACAGTCCAAAACCGGTCCCGCCATCGCACAGAACCTAAGATCTAAAAACAAAGTAAAACAAAACTGTACACAGAAGCCAAAAGATCACACAAAGAAAAACTGCAAGACTGACCCTGACAGTATATACCAGATGTGACATACTCAGGAGGGGGTGGGGAGGGAGGGAGGAAGAAGAGCAGGAGAGTAATGAAGGAGGGGAGGAGAGTACTATGGATGGTGGTAGAGGACTGTGGGCACTTGGTGGTGGGTAAGTATGGTGACCATACCTGAGGGAAGAAATTCTTAAGTGAAAACAAAAACAAGGATTTAAAAAACAACAACAAAAACTTGCTCATAGACATCTTTCAGTAAAAAACAGGGCATAGATCTCAACTGTTAACAGTCAATAAACATACACCAAAAATCTTGCATTTGAGGAATATTTTGAGGAACATTAAGGAAGTCAGAGACAGCAAAGATGTTCCTAGTATCTGAAATTCAAAGCTATTAGAGAAAATGGAATTACTAATGAGGTGAGTGTAAGACATAATTTTATAAAAAACTACCAACTTGTGTTAAAAAGCAGCTGAATTATTTTGTAGTCCAGCTAGCAGTGTAAACAAGTTCCAGTTGCTCCATTTCCTTGCTCATACTTGGCACTGTTAATGGCTTTAATTTCAGCCATTCTATTGAGTGCCACTTTGTTATGATTTCAATTTACATATAGCTGTTAATTAATGATGCAGTTTTTTCAAGTTTTTACTGTGCATTCATATATTTTCTGAGAAGTATCCAAATTATCCTGCCTTTATTTTTTTTTAAACTTGGGCTTTATTATTTGCTTATTTACTATTTACATGATTTGTAAACACATCTGTCAATGTTTTTATTTTCTTAGTCTTCTACTTTGATAAAATTAATCAACTATTTTTGTGGAGAATCTTACGAATTCTTTGCCTGTCCTTAGGTTGTGAAGATTTTCCCGTCTTTTCTTTTAGATAGTTCATAGTTTTAGCTCTTAGATCCCTTTCTAAGTAGCTCTTAGATCCCTTTTCCTTGTATTATATTTTATATAATACAAGGAAGGTTAAAAAAGGTTAATTTTTACTTTATACAGCTATCCCATCATCATTTATTTAATGGTCTATTTCCCCCTTTTAATTACTTTTCCATTCAGATTAAGGTGGAGGGAGTTTAGGTGAAAAGAACTGACAGTAGGTTAGGGGTCTACGTCTGAATTGTCCATGCTTCATTGCTCTATATGTCTACACTTATGAATATACTATTTTCTTTAACATAGTTTTGTAATGCAAAGCAGATAATGTGAATGTCTAAAATTGTTTTTCTAATCGTGTATTTCTGTTGTAAAGGAGTCTGAAAATAAATGATTAACTTCAGAGATTCCATGAGTCAAAGCTAGTTTCTTAATAAAATCATTTTTACTGGTTTAGACTGGTAATAAAAAAAGGGGATGGAGGAGGAATGAACTGGCATAACTTTGTGTGAAAAATGAATGAAGTGAAACTTTCAAGGAAACAATTATTTCTGATAACAAAATTCAAACTTTCTAAGAAAGTTTAGAGTTTGACAATTCCCAATATTACAGATCTAATAAGGTTTGTGGTAATTTTTAGTGGTATAACTTTCTTATGTTGAAGAATGAAAAGTGTCAACATTAAAAAAATCTGTTAACTAGCGAGTATTTGCCAAATTACCAACGCATCAACTATAAAGCACACAAGAGTGAAAGTCCATCTAAAGTGTAGGCTAATGGATTGATGCATGACAAGTTCTATGGTATTTTTTTTTTCAGATTCCACATTATAAGTAATCTTCACAAAGCTACCTCCTGTCAAGTTATACAGTATTAAAGGAGAAATCCAAAATTATATAAAACAGCTATTTAAACATTCCTCCCTTTGCCAACTCATAAGTGTAAGAGACTGGTTTTTCTTTAAAAATTTCAATCCATTTTCAACTTACTGCTGCAAAAGCTGAATCTGTCAATTCAAGAAAAACTGAGAAACAGATGTGATACTCCAGCTTTCTTAAGTCAGAAAATGAGACAAATGTTAAAACAGTTCCATTCTTTTCACTTTAAACAAAAAAGTTCTTTTTCTTTAAAAACAAGTTCATGTTAGGAAATGGGTTTGCTATTGTATTTATAAACTTTTAAATATATAAGTTTATACTTGTATGTAAACTTTTAAATATATAAACTTTTAAAATTCTCAGATGTTCTTCCCACTACAGTAAATAGTTTGAAATTTGGCCACAAAAACAAAGGTTCTGTGAGGTTTTGATAAATTTAAGACCATGAAGAGGGTCTTGAAATCAAAAAATTTAAGACCTGGTACTTGAGTTTACTGTAATTATAATACTTCAGATTTAAAACTCAACCCATACATGACAATGATGCTTAAGAACACTCAAGTGAATTAAAATCTAACTTAAAATTCCAATATTTACGAACATGCAAATGATAAAATGTTGAACATTCATCTAATGAAATACTGCAATGGCAAATGCCAGCAATACAAAATGCCAGAAAACACAACAAATCTATAGTAACAAAAAGCAGACCAATGGAGACTTGGTTTGGGGTAGGAGCAGGGGGAGAGGAAGGGAATTCAAGAGAACACCTTGGATATACTAGTAACTGTAGTTGCAGACACAGAGGTATATACATAGCAAAGTGTATGAAATCGTACACTTAAACATGTTATGTCTAAATTGGTTAAATTATGTGAATCTCTGGACCTTTAAAAGCTTCTATCATGTTTTAAATTATTAAGAACAATTAAACTTCTCAAGTACTGGACATAAAATAACAACACTGAAGTTAGTCTTGCACCAAAGTATCTTTGTGTCAAGACACGATGCTTTTGTTTGAAATAAAACAGGTACATTTCCTCACCTCATTGATGCAGACATCAGACACCACCTCCTGAGAAGACTGTACCCAATACAGGATCAGTGCGTCAAAACATTCAAAAAAGGCAGCAAGGTTGACCACAATGTCATGAGGCAGGCTGTGGTAGCTCTCTGGATCTTAGAATTGATATAAAACAAGTACATTCTTTCAGATTATGTTAATCTCTGGACATGCTAAATAATCAGTTATAATTTACAACTCAATGTTATCCTCAGCAGGTAATTTTTGAAAAGCTGAGATCAGAAGCAAATTCTTCATTAATATTAACTTAGTGCATCAGGCACATATAACTATACAATATTAGATTGATGATGCCCAATGGGAAAAAAAAGTTTTTAGTTTAAATACAAATGAAAACTAAGTGAATGTATGTTTGGATGGATAACTAACACAAAATATGAGAAGATGCTATGAATATACTAGTAAAACAGTGCTGCTAATGCAGCTGTTTTGAATTTTTATACTTCTATAGTTTTTTTTTTCTAACATGCATAATCATCTTTTGAATTAAAAATAAAGACAGAAGAGAGGGGAAAAACCTCTAATCAAATGCTTATGAGCATGTACATTTAGAGCCAACAGACAAAGGTTTCAAGTTCTGGCTCTTCTACTTACTAGAGATGTAACCTTAAGCACATCTTAACCTCATAAAGTTGCTATAAAAAGTAAATGACATCAAGGACATGTGAAAAAGCAATCATTTTTTTCTATCAAATAAGGGAGCAAGCTTAAAATAAACCCAGCAAATGACAAGGAATCAGTGTAACGGTGGCGGCTGCCGAATGTCTCTCAACTTGAGCAACATTATGCAACTGGATGCATAATTGAAGAAAATGAACAATAATGTTCTTACCTTTATGAAATTCAAAGGACATTCTTAAAACACTATTTCTTAACTTTTTGCCACCAACAGAAACCAAATTTGCTTCAGTAAAAATTCGTTTTTCCCGGTCAAGATATATAATTGTCCTGAAATGAAGATTCAGTAACTTAATAGCTATTGGTCAACAGTACTTTTTCAATCATATCCTCTATCTTGGAACCATTGGAACATCACTGTCCTTCACAGTACTGTTCCTTGCCTGCCCCTGCAAATTCTGGACTAGAGAAATGGGAGCGAAAGTGATAACAACTAAGGTGTGGGGGAAGAAGACAGATGGCAGAATGCTGTCTGGGTGGATTACCAGACCTCACTTTGAGATATGACAAACTGCACTGTGAATTCCTAAAACTGTCATATAATTAATCTGTAGTGTTAGAAGCTACCCACAGAAGAGGGAGAGGGAGCTTCTGAGATGCTACCACATATTCACATGTGTGAGTTCTTTGTAAAAATTCACCAAAACAATAAATGCTCATTATTAAGTGCATTTTTCTAAAATGTAATTTATGCCTCAGCTACAAATTTATTTTTAGTAATTCATTACACCAATAACCATTTTAAAAACACTACTGTCATTACATTTAAAAAGTGGGAAAGATCAGCTTATGGAATAACTAGATAAATTCTCACATCAGTGCATACTTATGTATGCAAGTACTACACATGTCTCCAGCATTTGAGAATGAGAAATGATGTGGACAGAAACATGATTACAGGAAGAACATATGAGAGAACAAGTAGGTGAAATGGAAGGAAGTTATGGGAATCACAAAAAGTAAAGATGACTTACCCTATCATAAATGATTAACCATAATTAAATTCCACCATTAATGCTAAAGTAAAGTATCTCTTGAAGCACCCTATTAAATTATTAAAAACCTACAAAATGTTCAGACTTTTTGATATCAGTCTGAATTACTTCTGTGAGTACAGAACATGGAGAGGAAGGTAATCATGACAGTACCCACCATTTCCCAGGTTCAAAAAATTAAACATACACAAACTATACTTGACAGTCTTAGAAAAAGTATAATCTGTGAAGCCACAGTGTACAGTAAGATAACTGTGCCCAGAATAGCAGGCTTCACCTACTTGTTTGCCACAGACTCTAAAAGAGCAAAGAGCTGTTCTGGTTGGTCTGTTTGTGGATCAAAGTCCATTGAATTTCTAATGATGTCCAAAGCCTGCATGTTCCATCGGGGGTCCAGACGGATCACAAATTCATCTGTTTAAAAAAAAAAAAATTATTGTAGTTTTGGAAATTTGCTGAGCAAAGTTCATATCAGTATTTTCACTGTTTCACTTTGATCACATTCAGTCTTACTGAAAAAGATGAACAGGAAAATGCTGGTTTCAGCTTGTGAAACTAGAAAAAGTAGGGTTCAACAGCTTTTCCACTATTTCCTTTCCAAATAAAAAATATTTAAGTCATAAGAACTTGCTACATTGTAGGATATAAAGGTAATTCCTGCTACAATATCAACATTCACAGCAATGCATTTACATGACCACGTGAGAAAAGGATCCATGAATTACCCATTCTTTTGTCATTAACCATACACAAAGAGCTAACTTACAATGCAGGTAAAGAATGAATACAACTCATTTGTTTTCATAAGAAAAATAACAAGAGCCCTACATTTAAAAGACATTTCTTTATAACCACAGGATCAGGTTGCTGCTGCCACATCATGCCGCTTTAGTTTAAAGCTGGTATCGTTCTGTAAAACCAGAGAGATCAATCCCTGACACTGCCCAAGATTATGAGAACTCAAGGGAGGAAGGCAGTACAAAACAACAGAAACATGAACTTGAAAGTGGCTGGATATGGTCACTGGGGCATTTAATTTTTTTTTTTTTTTTTTTTTAAAGAAGTGTGGGTGGTGAGAGTATTCACCAGAGATAGACTGGGGAGCAGAACAGGCAGATCCACTGAAATACACTGCTGAGGGGAGCAGCGGGTATGAGAGCAGAGGTCTGCTGCACCGTGTAGATCAGCTCCCTAGCCAGTGATAGAACTGAACTCCTGCTACATTGGTTTTGGATAGCTTCAGAGTGCGGCACTTTAACCCCTTCTGCCACCAGGGGGGCCCACAACGTGAAGTTGTAAAAGATTACATTGCACAATAAAGGCCGACAAATGTCTGCTTCAAACAGCAGAGTGCAAGGAGAGAAGTCACATCACAAAGTCCAATAAAATTATCCAATGTAGAGTTACTCAATTAAAAAGAAAGATGAAGGTACAGCTAATATGTTCCAAAAGTTCCATAGCTTAGTATATACTATGCTAAAAACAAAACCTGCTACTTTCTCTAGAAATGCTCTTATAATCCTTTCATAAATGGAAAGTGATGACTTGGCTCAGCCACAATCTACTATAGTGGTTTGCTCTATAGTTCAATTTATTCCCACCACGCATCCCACTACCTTTACTATATATAAGGTAATTGGTATGGCACCAAAGCAACATGCATTCTTTTTTCTGAACCAAGTGGCTGTGGGTATGTTTCGATGAACATTTAATGAAGAAGATGGAAGTGAGAAATTTAAAAATTTGTGAAAATGCCTCCATTTTTCTCACAAATGCTTGTTTAATCAATGCTATATTGTTCTGTCCTAGTAAACAGATTACTATCTTACCTGTTAATAAAAAGTACGTTCTGAATACCCCATTTGTTAGGTTAAATGGTTATCACTGTTTTTGTAACTAAAGTGTTCTTATTTTCTTAAAAAAATGATTGTCTTGTTTTCCCTTTAAGTGAAATAGCACAGGTGAAAATTCTTTGTATTACAGTAACATGTCATAGAATGTTATAAGGAGCCCCAAAGAAATTCATTTAATTCTCATAATTTTCAAAAACAGGCAGCCAATATGAATAATGGGCTCAATTACAAAGTAAGTTTCTGACTGAGCTGGGATAACAGCCCAGTCTTCTAATTTCTATGTTCCTTCTACTACATTATATTTCATAATCCTCTTTTAGAAACTGGGGTACAAATGAATAGCTTCAACAAACAAGCAGAATTTGCATCTGGATACTGAGTCTTCTTTAAAAGAAAAAAATACTGTTTGTTGCAGTTTAACTTCTGACAGGTCATTTACCCATGAACTCAATGGACACGTTTCCTAAACAGTGCTGAGATGGAAATCAAATTAAGTGCAATACCTGTTATGTTTGGTTGTACTATTTTGATGATATTACTGACCCCAGCTGAGAGGGGATTTGAGTAAAAATTTCTGAGAGCTGCAGCACTGGCTTCCAAATGAATCTGTATGGACTCTGAAGAAAGGAAAAGCAAATGTTAGTATCTAAAGCAATGCTGTTCAATAAAACTTTTTGCAATGACAAAAAATGTTCCCCCAGATACACTGTCAGAGTGGCCCCGAGTCACATGTCAGTGAGTACTTGAAATGCAGCCAGCACAACTGAGAGTCTGGGGTTTTATATTTTCTTTCTTTTTTAAAAATTATTTATGCATAGAAGAACTGGGGTGCAGGCTAGAGGTGTGGGGGCAGGGAGTGAGAGGATTCACTAGAGACAGAGTGGGAGGTGGATCTTCTGAGATACACTGCTGGGGGGAGCAGTGGGCAAGATAGGAGAGGTCTGATGAGCCATGTGGGTCAGCTCCCTGGCTAGGGATCAAACTCATGTCACAGTAGCTGGCGACTGCTTGACAGCACTCAGACTTTAATTCTTGTACCGCTTTTTATCCACATTTTAGTAACTACCACAGTACAATGCAGATAAGGGTATTTAAAATTCTTGCCATGCATATTTAGACATATGGCATTTACTTAGCTTACACACATGTTCTTATGGAATAAAAAGGCTTGTGTAAACCTTATAACTTATGTGATGCTGTTACTGACACTTTTTCTTCTCAGGATGAAATTAAGTACACCAATTCAGAGCACCAGAACTCAAAAAAGATTACAATCTTATGTACTTTTAAGGAAAATTAATTTACCAACAGCAACATCTTTTCCAAATAAAATGGCTGTACAAGCAATAGCTATACTTCAGTGGAGCAAGTTTTGTTCCCAAAAAATTAACACCACAATATTTTAACAAAACATTTACCTGTCTTTTAGAGTTCATAGGAAGGTGGGTAGATCCTCAAATGTTAAGAACTACATAGGGGAAAAGTTTCTCCTGGGACAAATCTAAAGCAGACGTGTTCCTTAATATTTTAACAGTCATACAAAGTTACGCTGAATCATAAATTCCCTGGAAGATCTTCAACGCGTAATTTTAATAAGGTAGTCATAGAATAACACAGCTGCTGAGGTACTTGAACAGACTAAGTGTTCTAAACCCTCTCATTATGCAAATTAAGCTTTTCCACTCACCAAGTCCCTGTGGTATATTCTTTGCTAAATGACAAAGCCATTTAACTCTGAGCATCCAATCTTGATTGGTTGCTCTTTCTATAAGCAATTTAACAGCCATGGCCAAAACATCTGGTTCATCAATCCAATAAGCATCCACTTCAACTGAACTGAATTTTAAGTTCTCAGGGTTGGAAGACTGGATAATTTTCTCTAAATCTGGCAAGTTAAGAGGTTGAATCCTGAAAGTCATTGGAATAGGGAATGTTAGTACTGGAATAAACTTGTATTTTATGTTCAAAAAACATAGGAACATAATTTTACAAGGAATGAGTCAAACACATTGTAATGGGAAAAAGATTCATTAAAGGAGGATAAAAAACAAACTGAATGAATAGTGGGACACAGCATCATAAGAAGCAATGGAACTATGATAGCTGAAAATAAAGGGATGACATACCTGGTTGAACATGTTGGATCATGAGCATTACCAAGAAAAAAATAAAATAGGAACAACCCCAGTAAGGTGCTACAGACAAACATAAGCTCTAGGTTCCACTTACCTGGCCCAGCTATTTGTTCTCATGCTCATCCTGTTAAGGCAATATGCTAAGATCTGTCCATCACTGCGGACTATAGAAAGGTGAGAATCTTCTGTGGCAAAAAGAGCAGAAGGTAGAGAATCTGGCCACAGTCCCATAGCAAGAATGGAGTTACCCCAGGTTTCATGTGCTTGCAAAGAAGAAACATGCTTGTCCAGTAAAGCCTGCACAAGCTGGAAGGGAATAAAACGCATGATATATAGGAACCAGCATGTAAGTGCTAATACCAAAAAGCTAGCAGAAAACTTAGTTTTCTAAGTTCCATTCAGCAATCTCACAACAATCATGAATGTTTCTCAATGTACAAGTTAAATTACATTTCTGATAGAATTTATATTTCAGGTGTTTTCCACTAAAGCCCCAGGTCTCTGACAGAACATAACTTCTATGGACACCTCTCTTAGATTACTTAAGTTCACATCAGGGAAAACAATTTCCTCTTATTTAATAATAAGTACTTTTGCAACTCCTTACAGTACCTTCTGGTTTGCTGGTGAATGCTGGGAGGCAACATATGCTTCCCAGCATGCTTCAGAAAAGGCTCTGTCTAAACTCAGCCCCCGCTGTAGGTACTGGACAATGAATACAGCTGTTTGAATTAAAGTTGAAACAGAAGATACTGGAGACCCTAGGAAGAAAAATATTGTCATCTGTGAGCAATATATTCTCTAAAGTCTCCAATGAAATAGATAAATCCCACCTTTCCACTCAAATCCACCCACTTATTTTAGAAAGTCTTCTATTAAGTGGACTCTGAGGTCTTACTAACAACATAATGAACTTAAGAGAAATGTTCATATTCTGTCTGTTCCTCCTTGTTCTCTCTGGTTATCAGTACTGATATTTTCAGGAAATGACCAGATAATTCATTTGAAGGTGAGATAAAGCCTGATCACATATATCCTTAATCTAAAGTTGACATAAGGAAGGAGACAAAAAGCATTAAAACAAAACAAAAAAAAACAGCTTTGAAATATAACAGACCTACTTTCAAATTTTAGTTGGCATTATTAAATCATACCCCAGCTTTGAGTTACTCAATTTCTCTGATACTTATTTATAAAATGGGAACACTGGACTTAATATATACTGGTTACTTAGTTAAGTAGCATTTTATATGATTATTGTTGTTCTGTTGCTCTTCTCTGTATATTAGAAAATTTAGAAGAAGCAATTAACAGTTGAAAGTTACCGCTTTATTTCACCTTCAGGTGAATTAATACTGAGCCTGGAAATATGAGGTATAAACTATCAAGAGTAGTACCTTTTAAAATGCAGACCTCCAAGTACATGCATCAGGGTCACCCAGAGACCTCAAAATAGATTCCCACACCTGATCCAGACCTACTGACTTCAATCTCTTAGATAAAGAATTTCCTGGTAATTTCTATTTCAGTGTACCCTAAATATAAAAACTCACTAGTGGTCAAATGAAACATGAATTTCTATAGCACAAAACTCTGCAAGGAGCTGTAGAAGTCTAACACTTTACCTACAATGGTGCTTCGAATTTCTGTATGTAGAGCCAAGAGAGTGTCACACACATGATCCCCCACCAACCCAAGGCTGTGCAGCAAAACTTTCAAATCCAGGTCATCCAGGATGTTCCCATCCCCTTCTCCTGAAATGTAGATTTCCAGTCCACGATTTCTCATGGCTCGAGATATTTCTCCATGAACAGGATCCATTGAAAGAAAAAGTCTAGCAATATCGCAATTCAAAGGAAAAAAAGTATTAAAATCCCAGTGCAACCAATTGTGCAGCTCAGCAACAACTGGTGAGCGCAAATCCTATGTGGTTCGTCATGCTAAGAAAGCTTACCAAGGGAGGCATCATTAACACAGACTACCACAAAGTTTCTATTCTATCTTCTAGTCTCAAAATGCATCAATACAGCAAATCCATTTCTTTAAACTTAATTTTCTTTCCCAACTAAGAATTGTATGTTAAGTACACTTGTTTTTAGTGCTAAAAACTTTGACATTCTTACTTTCAGATAGTACCCAATCAAGCAGTGCTAATTTTTCCATTCTAACCCATATACTGAAAACCCAAAAAGGAGCAGTGTATTCTGAAATAGCTAGTTTCACTGATTCAATGCCCATCAAGATCTCTGTCTAATGGCTATCTAACATCTCACACATATCTCCAACACTTAATAGGTGATTTCTTGCTAATCCTCCCCATCCAATATCAAATAAGCTCCTTTATTAGCCCTCCCTTCTCAATGAATGACATCCCCATTTACTTAAGCCCAAAACACAGATGTCAGCCTTGATTTCTCTTTTTCTCAACCTGTAAGTCCCACTTATTTGACTATGCAAGGCAAAGGCTTATCTAAGTGGTCTCTCTGTTTTCACCTTTAACCGCCAACCCAAGGCAAGGACGACATCATGTCATGTGCAAGGACATCATTTCATGTGTTTATTATTCTGCCCCAGTGTCTACCAGTGCTTAGAAAAAGCAGAAACTGAATAAAAAATGCCTATTAAACTTATTAATGAATGAGTAAACACATTTATATGACTGACCACATGACTGTCATGTGACCAAATTCATAATAGGGAAGAAGATTATACCGAATGTCTACTTTTGTTGTCAGGTGCTTAGGCAGAACTTAAAAGGAATAAATACCTGAAATTAGGATTTGGTGTTATGGTGGGAGTGGATCCATCTAGCATTCCTCTCTCACTAACAGTGAGGACACCTCCAGGTTCAAGCAAAGCATTCAAACGGTCCAGCACTGATGGGCTGCAGAGAGAGAATTCAAAAGATGGACAGGCTCATATGTTTTTACTGCACAAGCCTCCCATTGCTCCTGAACCTATCTTCCTTTCAGCATGGATCATTCTCTGTATAGAATTATGTCATCTTTCAAGAGTAGATTCCCCATGTATTCCATTTTGAATTCCCCAAGGCACACACAGTCCAGAATGAATATACGAAACATTTGAGTAAGTAAGTGAAATTAAGGAAGTGGTAAGGAAAACAGTAGGAAGTTCTTTTTCCCAACCTGACCTCCCAACATTACCAAATCTATTTAAAGAAAAATAGGTTTTAATTTGAAATATCTGAAAAAAAAAATAGTTCCAGGTACCTATGCAGCTCCTACTGTGCTAACCGCATTAGTACAGGAATTTCAGACTTGCCCTTATCCTTACTTTAGCATAAAAACTGGTAAGTGGGCCCTCCCTAGTGGCACAGTGGGTTAAAGCATAGTACTGTGGAGCTAATGAATATGATCCCTGGGCAGGAAGGTGATCCACATGGCACGGCAGACCACTCCTGTCTCAACCACTGCTCCCCCTCAGCAGTGTACTTTTCGTTAGTCTGCCTGTTCTCTCCCTCAGCAGTGTACTTTACGTTGGTCTGCCTGTTCTGCTATCCACTCTGTCGCTGACGAATCCTCTCAGTGCCCCTGCGCCTCTGGCATATACCCTAGTTCTGTATGCATAAACAAATCAATCTTTAAAAAAATTGAAAAAAAAAAATAATAACCAAAACCTGATAAGCACTCATCACATTGACTAGCTGTGTGCCCTGTGTTAAAAGTCTCCTTTTAAAAAATATGCAGTAAAAAATGATTCCAACAAAAGGGAGAATTCTGATGTCAGGCAAAAAGGTCTAACTCAAAAGGATGTTAGTTGGGAAAGTCATTAATTTTGTTAACTTTCAGTTTAGCTCAAAAACTATCATACAAAACTAAAACCTAGCAGCTGTCTCATGACTAACTACTGTTAGTTTAGCTTACAGAGAAAGGTACAGAGTATGCCTGAGAATGATTTTCTAATTAAGAAAACAATGGAATAAAAATACACAACTTCCAGGCTTTCCTGATGGTGTAGGGTTTGTTAAAGTCTCAGTGCTATCAAGCTATCACCAGCCACTGAACAATGAATTGCATCCCTGGCCAGTGAGGTGACCCACATGGCACAGACCTCTCCTGTTTGGCTCACTGCTCCCCTCAGCAGTGTATTTCAATAAATCTGCATGTTCTGCTCCCTACTCTGTTGCTGATGAATCCTCTAAACTGTTCCCCCATCTCTGTCTTATAATGCAATTCTTGTATACATAAATAAATAAATCTTAAAAAAAAAATACACCACTTATACCAGTTTTCTACTTTAACCCCGTTTCAATCCAGCCCACTAGTGATTAGGCATGAAGTCCTTACTTGCAGAAGTTAACATTGTCCATCAGAAGCCAGTCTCCAGACTTGAGAGCATGAACCAACATACTGTCAACCCATTCAAATGTGCCATGGCTATGTCCACTGGCTGACTGCATAAGCTTCACCCCAAAGCTTCGGAACTCATCCACAAGTTTGGCAAACTCTGAAATATCACATTCATAGCATTTAATTTCAAGCAATGGCAATGAAAAAGAAACAAATTGGCTAGTTACTAATTTCCTATTTGCTTTGTTAGGTATCACCAATTTCAAATAACTTATATCAACTTCATCTTACTTCCTAAGACAAAGATTTCCAGATATTGGTAGTACATAATCAGTAAATATAATTATTAGAGGAAATGTATTTAAAAATATATTACTTGTACATGCACTGTATCAATATAAATGTTTGATACATACATCCAAATACACATACCTGCCTTAGAGTATGAGTTGATTTTATTGTTGAGTCTCTGCATAAGCAATAATACTGCTTCCAGCTTGTTGACAATCTCCATTGTGACATCTCTACCACCTTCTCCAAGACTCTTGGGCTTATATGTCAGAAGGAAATGACTCCAAGCTCGAAGCACTACTTCTGCATCATCAGAACTGATAAGGAAGCTATCTCTTAATAATGCCCTTACAGTGCCCTCCACTTTCTCCAGCAGTTGCCTCCAAGGCCGTATAAGATCAACCTACAATTTTCAGAGCACATGAACTCAACATAGCCATTGACCAAAGTCAAAAAATACTGCTACAAGTAATACAGAAGACCATCAATCAGACCACAAGATTGTTTTTGCCTGAAAGTGTGAAGGCAGTCCCATTACCTGTTCAAATCCTCCCAGAAGCTCTGTAGTGTCCATTGCACTGTTCATAGCCATGATCTTTAATGTGTGACCAGTAAGGTGTGCCAGGAGCTGGACCAAGCTAGTCTTGCCCACAGAAGCTGGGCCCACAAGGATGACCATCCAGCTCATCTGCACACACTTCATAATTGACTCCAGAGATTGCAAGGACTGGTGCAGAAGCAATAGGGGACGACGGGATGGGGGTGGTACATAGCTGCCACGGGAAAGTACTGCATAGCCCAACTGGAAAAGATAGGACAGTTAGATTCACAAGTGTGCCTAGTAATAAGAGCAGAAACCATAGAAAATTGTAAAAGACTATTTCTAGTATTACCTGAACATCATAAGGAGTGATGTGGAATAGTCTAGTTCCCATATATGGCTTGGAATTTGAACCAAATACCTCCTTAAATACATCAACAACCTAAAAGAAGAATGTGCCATCAAAACAGCAATCACTTCACTACAAGTCTTTAGAAGGCTTATTCGAGGAAACATGCACAGCAATGTAATTCATAAAATTCTGAGAACACCAGTCACTATTCCTTCATTTTTATGAATTTTATTTTATATATAGGATAGACTACACTTGTTTAACCCTTTCAGAATGAAAGCAAACTTGATTTCAAAATATGTGGGATTCCAATGAAAATGCACCACAAATTAAAGGCATACTCTATTAAATCTAAAAATGAAACCCAAATTTGCATTTGCCATTCAAGATACCACACTAGAAAAAGAAGGTAGAAGACATTGGGAAACATGAAGATTATGAAGAACAATGTGTCTTTTATCAATAAAAATGGAAAAACTTATTAAACATTTTTCCCTAACGACTATAAGCCACTTGCTTATAATAAATGAATTATAAAGTCTAGGTAGATCCTACACCATATAAAAAGGAATCTGCCCACTCAGCAACATAATGGAAGGTATGTGAAAGCCATGTGACAAGTCACATGTGGTTTAGCCAAATCTTCACATTTCAACAAGGAGGATATTGCTTCTAAAATATATCTGCATATTATGTATATTAACTAATATAGTTTTAATGTAGAAGAAAGCACAAGGACGTGTAAGTCTCTAGGCTCTTCCACTTGTTCCTATTGGGTCCCCCAACTATGATTCCTAGGATCCTCACCTTTAAGAGGTCCTGGTGCAGTTGCTGTGATCATTCAGTGAGAATGAACTTTACATATCATTTAAAAGCAAAATGCACACAATTACAGTTTCACCAGCTGGAAATTCTAGTGTCACTTTATTTCTGAATAGGTATTTCTATTTCATTTAGATACAGAAAATTGATCTCTGTTGTTTGTTTATACCATAGAAAAGTTACTTAAACTTTATTTATCAATAAATTGAAATGTTTGCAACTTGACTTTAAACAGAAACTTTCCTCATCTACCAGGTACCACCTATATGACCCTACTTCTCTCCTTTGTGCCTGAAAAGCTTAAGACAACTAAGTTCTTTACTGCTGGAGGCAATACTGTTTTAAGATGGTTTGCAATCATGGTGAGTTAGATGGATAAGCAACATGTGTCCTCCAAAGAAAGAGACTCTATGTAACTATGATACTTTGGGCTAAACATTTAGTCTTTCTTTTACTTCTGAATTTTCAAGCAATTTTAAGATATTATGAGTAAATATGCCTATTTTCTCCCTTAAGAAGAAAGGAGCTTTCAGAGAGAAAGAAAATTCAAAGAGCAAGTGTTAAAGCTCACCTTTTCTTTGTCTTCCTTGGTTCTCATTCTTTCACCATAGACCAAAAACACATGCTGACCAGGATCATAACACCCCGGGGACTGGTCAACTAACATCAGCTGACACCAGCGGAACAGATCCCGGAGGTTGAATTCCCAGGGTCCTCCTTTTTGCCCCCATTTCTTCTCAACAGTTACTTCATGATCAATCTAAAATGAAAAGACCCTTATTGGAAAACAGCCCACTGGTAGGCATTTGCAGGAAGTACTACCAGCATACTATAAATGTGATGCAATCTGTAGGAGAAATTTATAGGCTGGATTCAGATGTTCCCTCCCAACCTAGACTTACAAGTGCCAGGGATAATCTATAAAGATAAAAACCAATAAACACAATAGAGGTGAAATGACATAACTCTCAAATGAGTATCTTACCTTTATACAAACTTTGGAATTTGAAGTGATCTATTCTTAAGAGAAGCTGGTATTTTGGTAGCATCCAACATGGAGAGAATGTTGGGTCAAAAGAGGAAAAACAAAACTAGTAACACAAGTGTGTACTTACTTGATTGTTGAAAGCAACCATTTTCTTAACAATATTTTTGTCAATAGCTGGAAACAAAGTACCAGCAATGAACTCCATGTCAATTACTGAAAGGGGATCCACAAAGACCTATAAAACCCAAAATTAACATGAAGAAATGCCATTTTCCTCTTTCCAAACCAGAAATGAGTACCATGTCTTACTATGCAAAATTTTTATTTACCACCAAACCGAGACCTATTTTTATATATTTTATGCACATATATAAATGTATTAAATGCAAAACTATATAAAACGTTGTAATGTATAAATATATAATTTTACACTTATATACACTTTCCAGTTATTTAAATTTCTTGCATTGACACAGAATCATAAAGTACTTGAAATACAGGGTTACACAGGTTTCTCTTTACAGGTCCACAATAGTGAATTAAAAGAAAAAAAGATAACTAATCTATTTAAAAGTATACATGATTTTTAAAAAATCTCCAATGTATTTACATTATGTAAAATGCTCTAAAATTTCTGGATGGTAGAAATGTGAGCATTCACCATAAAATCTGTTTGACTTCTGGGCCCCCCTGGTGGTGCAAGGGAGCACTATGAAGTTACAGGCAGCCTCTGCAACATCAGTTCAATCCCTGGCCAGGGAGATGACCCAAATAGCACAGCAGACGTCTCTGTCTTGACTGCTGCTCTTCAGAACAGTATATTTTAGTAGATTTGTCTGTTATGTTCCCCACTGTTTCTGGTGAATCCTGTCACACCCCAGCCCCTGCACCTCTGGCCTACACCCCAGTTCTTACATGCATAAATAAATCTTTAAAAGCAATTTTGACTTTTTAATATGACTGAAATCTCTCACAAATAAATGGTCTTAAAAAATATACAGAAATGACCCTCCTTGGTGGTGCAACGGTTAAAATGCAGCACTATTAAGCTAGTTGCAACCACTGCAGCATGAGTTCAATTCCTGCCCAGGGAGGTGACGCACGTGGTATGGCAGACCACTTCTGTCTGGACCACTGCTCCCCTCAGCAGTGTACTTCATCAATCTGCCTATTATGCTCCCCACTGTCTCTGGTGAATCCTCTCAGCACCCCTGCACTTCTGGCCTGTACCCCAGTTCTGTATGTACAAATAAATAAATCTTTATTCTATTTCCATCTATTAATTATTCTAATTCTATCAATATTCTATTTCTATCTATTATTCAATTAATCTAAAAAAAAAAAAAAAAGATGAACAACTGATGGATTTTGGGTGCCAAAGTGATAGAATAACTACAGTGACTGCACCTCAGGGGAAAAATCATATACTCTCCAAAAATGTGAAGAGTACTTTTTAAAAAGTACTTTAAAATACCTTAAGGGGAGGCCCTCCCTGGTGGCGCAGC